TTGCTGATGCTATTCGCCCAGAGGACATTGAGTATCTTACGTAGACAATTGTTTATAAAAACTTGTACTTTTTTAATGATGGTTGTAGTAGCTCTTCAAGTTTCAGCCTCGTACAACTAAACTTGAAGAACTTACTTTTTACCAATTAAAAAGTTAAATACAAATTGACTAGTACTTTTCAGTGTTCTATATTTTGTTAAACTTAAAACGTATGTGATTACATACATGAAATATTAGCTTACAGTTGAACATAAAAAGTAATAAATTAAAATATGTACATGATTAGGACTATGTAATACAAGTTTATAATTTATTCCTGGAAGAATTATTCACAACAGTTAATGGATCAAACAAACGTTTACAGTTAGGACAATATCAAAATTCCATAAATTAATTAATTAGTAAATACATATTAAAAATACATATATGCTGATTCATCAGAGAACAACTCTTAAAATCTCTTAAATCCATTTATTTGCCTATTCATAGCATGGTAAACTTGCAAAACTTTTCATAGACATACTGCTAAACATATTCTTATAAAAATCTTTCAATGTTTTAGTAAATATCTAAATATTTATATTGTTTAGTTAAAATAGGGGTGCTAGGGTATATGAAAAGTAGGAAATCATTTTAATCGAATCAGTAGTCTCTAACAAAGGGATTCGTCTTGCAGTGAAAGCTTACTTTTTATTATTATTATTATTATTATTATTATTATTATTATTATTATTATTATTATTATCACTAGGAAACATTAGAAATTGTAAACAAATTAATAAAACAGCTCCTATTACCGTTGTACCGACTACTCAAAGTTGGTCAATACTTTTAAAGAAATTAAACTGACTACATTAAATATTGACAGAGTTTACTTGAATCCTGACCAGAACAAACTTTCATCCAGGCTAATAGTTTATAATCTTTAATTAAAAAATTTATATGGACGGTATGTAATGAATGAACACTCAGGCGGAGACAATCAGTTTATTATTCCATACAAAATTAAAGAATATTTTGGTAAAATATGAGAACCATACATTAAATGCTTCATGTGTAAATGTTCACTCAATTTTCCTTTACATTCTGTTTGATTCTTCCAATCCACAATTCCTTTCTATTTTCTTTTCTGTTTTCTCCAATTCTGTCTTCTTAGTCTTTTACTGCCAGCCATTTGACTTTTGGTTGATGTTACATACTACTTATGTCTGTCAACATAATTAGCATTCACCTCAGTTATACTGTTGAGATCATTAATCTAGATTAAAATCTAATTCCTAAATTCAAGTAAGGACAATAAAAGCGAGAATTGGCGATAAGAGTAAATATACCTAGTTTTACCAATACTTTTTATTTTGTAACTATCCATCCCGAACAAGCGATCTTAAGTTGGGGAGATTTATCAAGTGACTCACTAAGAAAACATACTTTAATTTTTTAAAAAGGACAATGTGTTTATCTAGTCTCAATAATATGCTAAATATTGTTGATAACAAAATCAAAAACTCCAATGAAAATCAAACACTTGTTTATTTATGAGATCAGATGAAAAATCACTAAACCCTGAAGAAACAGAATATGTGAAAGAATTTTGTTAGTGTCATTGAAAGCTTATTGTACTCTGAACTTCACTTTTGTTTTAGAAACATAATTTCAATGTTGTCATGGTGCTTCACATGAATTTATTACATATAATTTTAATTTTGAATATACTTGTACGTAGGGGAATGAATTGTTCTTCGCAGTAATGTTATCATTCAACTAAAAATCTTACAGAATATCATATATCAGTTGAGGGGTTGTGGAGATTGTTAAGTTTTTGATTGAGATCATGAACCAAATCCCGCGAGCGGGATCGTGGACGCGCACTACTGAGGAGTCCCACAATAGAATATCATTTATTATTATTATTATTTGAACACGTAAATATTGATACAAAGAGACACCAAATACATATGCACGACACAATTCAATTGATTTGTGTGGTCCGTGATACTGCTCGAGTGCCCAAACTGAAGCAGGTGGTTTTGCAAGGAGACCACACACGGATCCATTAACCTAAAAACAATGTCAGGAGATGCACTCTCATGGTAGCCGGTGACCAACAATTGGTTCATACGCTTTTTGTTCCTTCAGGATACTGGAGTCCATGTGCACCATTGGTTTGGAATCAGGGTTTTCTTACTCCTCTAGGTGAACCCTTTTCATTCACCAACTCGGTTAAAGCGCCGGACATTGGCGTTTCGTCCTCTCAATTTCGTAAACAACATCCCTTCGTGAGAAGGCACTGAGTAAGACTTCCCTGGTAGTGGTGGTATATGCGTGGCCATGTGAGAGCAATTCGAGAAAGAGAGAAAGCTGACTCTCCCCACCTTCTGCCGTACTAGGGCATTTGAGGGCACAGAAAAAAGGAACAAAACTTAACGTGTCAATTTTTTTTTGAACTAAGAAAGTAAGTAGTAAAATCATAATTGAATCATTAGATCATATATAAAAGTTACGAACGATTATATCTCTTACTGGTATCATTTTAAATGAGAAATTACTTGATTCGCTCTTTATATTATCACAATTTTAAATCAATTAGACACAAAGTTGTTTACTTTCCTTTAACTGATTGTTTTTTGTTACACAAACATTAGAAAATATAAATAAACACATGTAAAGAGGTAAATAAACTTTTTTTCGTTTGGTTTTCCTTTCTTTTCTTTTTTGTTGTATTTCATCAAGTAATTTGAAAAATTTTCCTTTAGTTTATTTCCAATGATAAATTCAATACACAACCCCTAGTAATAAATAATTGAGAGAAGCGAAAAAAGAAAACAAAAAAAACTTTAAGAAGTGCCTTTTAATCTAACAATCTTAATTTTATTTAGTTTGAGAATTTGTAGAGGATAAAAATTGAAAGCTGAAAATTGTTTCATACAAATCAAATCAAAAATTTTCTTCGTCAGCTCAAAGCAACTAATGTAATTCATGGTAGTTTTAAGTTATCTGATCATCTATGAATTTTTTTTTTGGGGGGGGGTGTATAGAAAGAAAACAAAAGATTGTACAGTACCTAGTCTACATCTGGTTACAATTACTTGATTCATTATTTTTTTTAAAAAATGTTCTATTTATTACCGATTACAATAAACAAAATAGTATGGAAATTACAATCATCTTTTTTTACGAAAGTGGATTTTTTTCTCTATCTAAACAACAACAAAAAAAAGGGAAAACTGAGAAAAAGTTTTTAATAAACAGTTGTAACTGACTGATTAACTGACTGACGTAGTGTCAATCAGATTTTTGGTTTTTAATACAAACTAATTAAGTCAAATAAATGAAAATAAGAATGATTAGTTGTCTTAATTAACAAATTGAATAAATATTATTACTTTATCTAAACATATAGAATTGGTTGTAAATTTAATTTTTGAAAAGAATCTTTGATAAAAGTTGAATATTGACACAGCTTGATGTTTTGTTAAATTATCCCATAAAAAAAGTGTATCGATTTTCATTTTTTTTAGTTACCAGTCGATTGGTGTACTAAAATGATATTTTATTTTGTTAGACTGTTGGGTACTGTTGTAGTGAATGAGAACACAAGTGGGGGCAAACGAATATATTTGAACACTAAATTACAAAAAATTTTAGTAAAATCTGAAAACCATACTGTAAATACTTCATTTGTAAAATGTCAATCAATCATGTCAGACTTTACTATTCCTTTATTTCTACAGAAATCATTCACTGTCCTTGTTCTCTTCGATTTTCTTAACCTTCTGCTGTCAGGTATTTCATTTTCGATTGATAATACATACTACTTATGTCTATCGATATCAGTAGCACAAAACAAACTGTTATTTTATAGATAATATTTGATAAATATTCATTCAAGTAAGAACTATTTTTAATTAATAAGTTTTTTGTACTTATCAGTACCAAAAAGCGAGATTAAAATTTTTATTAATAGATTTAACTTACTTGATAACTGAGCTAATATTATGTGGAATGTATTCACATGTTATGGTATTAAGTGACTTCATATGACATTTTTGTATTAACTCCATCACAGTTTGAATTATCTTCATGGTTTGTTAAATCTAAAGCCTTAATCTTTTACTGGTGAAATTGATAATTATCAGAATATAAAGTGGATTATTATAAAAGACAAAGGATACTTTTTTCGAGCCAAATAAGTAGGTTGTAATGATGTATGATTACCTAGGGCTCGACATTCTGTTATAGCTGGGGTAAACGCTGGTGACGTGTTGAAGTGGGACAAACCTGAATCCTAGTACTCCTACTTTTCGACCAATATTCAAATGACGTCAGTCTATGATTAAATCACTTCCGTCTTTTTATGTTATACTTCAGTCAATTTTTTTTGTTTCCGAGTTTAAACGATTTGTTAAATCCTCTTTATTAACTTATAAAGAACAATCCTTAAGAATTTAGCAGAAGTACTTCATTCACCAATTTCAGTCGATATACTTTGTTGAGTTTTGCATTCTTCAGTAATTATTTAGTAAGCGCCAAAATCTAAATTTATAGTTTCTAAGTTTCTAAGAATCGATATAAAGCATTAAGAAGTAATGAGCTTCATAAATATTAAATAATTTATGTCTTCTCGCTATTCCACTGAGTTCAAAATTTAATCTTTAAACGAGTTGTTATTGTTTGACATGCTAGTTCTGCTTGAATTTCATCAGTCATTTTGAAATCAGTTAAAATACAGTAAATTCAGTATAATTTAGTTATAAAATACCCTGTGAATTTTAATATTTCTTGATGGTCCTTCAAAGAATGACTCTATCTTATGTTTAATGAACTTGTTAACTAAATTTAAGCAATAACGTTGAGACAGTCTATGTAAAAGTGACAGTTTAAATGTTAATTAAATATATAATATCAGCCTTCGCAAGGTTTTAGTTTCATTATAAATGAGCAAAATATTACACCAATCTAATTCAAAGTGTGGGAACGTTTTCTTGTTTTTCTTCATTTAGGGTTCTTATTTACATATCATGACAAATAAACAATTATTTCGTCTACCACTAACACGTTGCTCTGAATATAAAACATTTGATGACTGTCTCAACTCAAAAGATCCTCACTGTGGTTGGAATTGGTCCGAAGGTAGATGTTCAAGTGGTTATCTGTTTGAGTCTACCGTACAAATTAACCGTTTAAATACATTTTCACCATCGATTGATCATAGACAACGAAATAATCATCAATGTCCAACAAAAAGTTTTACATTTGACAAAGATAAAGAGAATTCATGGACAAAGTGGTACGATTGCAATTGGATTGCTTCACTACAAACAGGTGATCCGGTTCCTATAACAATTCACAATCAACCGACTGATGATGTCAATGAAAATGTTGGCGACAAAATCTCAGTGAAATTACTGGGAAGTTGTTTATGCCGTTTATGCATCAGCCAAGTTAATTGTGTTCTTGGAATCCAGCAGGTTAAGAACTGTACTCGTAAGTTTCGACGTTTAAATTTTGAGATTTCACAAGTGAATAAACTTACCTTTATATTCATTCACGTACTTAGTTGAAATAAAGCTTTAGACGATGACCGACATCAGACTACAGTTCTTTCTCTTGATAAAATTGTGATAGACTGCTTTACTCAAGCTCAATTTAAAGACATCTTTAATATTGAGCAATGTAGAAATGAAGCCATTAATTATTGACCTAATTGAATCGAGTTAAAACCATTGAGTGGACAGAGGTTTACCTGAAACTGAAGTTACTCATTTTTTTATTGATCTCAACAATTATGAAACATATATTTAAAACATTATATTAGTTGCCTTCGACTACAAAATTAATGTTTGAATACTTGTTCAACTCTACCTAAATACATTGCTCTAATTTCTCTTTTTTAGGACATCGTTTTTAGGACAATTTCAATAGTCCATCTAATAACACTGTATTACAGGATTCTTAAGAATTCTGAAGATAAAATTCTAAGTATAGTTGACCTTTATTTTTTGTACCAAAAAGTAGAAATCGATTTATTTTTTTCAAAATCTCAGTACCAGAAGCTTAGTTAAGGTTGACGATGAAAGAAAACTGATATCCTTAAGTTTTGCCTTTCTTTTGAAACAGAAATCTTTTTTAGGTAAACATTTGATTAGACAGAAGTTAGTTTTGTTCAGAAATAAGTTTGTTTAATTATCTTGAGATGAAACCCTAGTTTTTGTCTACTATTTTGAAATATTCCTCCAGTTTATCTTTGTAAATTTATGTAACTGGGTAATGGTTGTGTTTGATAAATATGGATTTTACCTCTGTACCATTTAATTTAATTAATCATAAAAAATATTCCAAGTAAGAACTGAAGTCAGACAAGGCTGTCTACTCTCTCCCCTCCGCTTTTTTCTGGTGGTCGATTGGATGATGAAGACCTCGACATCTGAGGCCAAAACACGGTATACACTGAACAGCTCGGAATCAATTAGATGATTTGGACCTTGCAGATGACCTAGTCCTCCTATCCGACACACGAACAAATCCAGATAAAGACAGCCAGTGTAGCAGCAGTCTCTGCATCAGCACGCCTCAGCATACACAAGGGGAAAACCAAGGTCCTCAAATTCAAAACGGAGAACAACAATCCAATCACTTTTGATGGCGAAACTCTGGAAGGTGTAGAATCCTTCACATACCTGGGAAGCATCATCGATGGATGAGGAGGCTCAGATGCAGGCGTAAAGACAAAGATTGGCAAAGCAAGGGTCGCATTCCTACAGTTGAAGAACATATGGAACTCAAAACAACTTTCAACCAATATCAAAGTGAGAATCTTCAATACGAACGTCAAGGCAGTTCTACTGTATGGAGCTGAAACTTGGAGAACTCCTACAACCACTATCAAGAAAGTACAAGTATTTATAAATAGCTGTCTTCGCAAGATACTCAACATCCATTGGCCGGATACCATCAGCAACAGCCTTTTGTGGGAGATAACAAACCAGCTTGCAGCTGAAGAGGAAATTAGGAAAAGACGATGGAAATGGATAGTACATACATTATGCAAATCATCAAACTGCATCACGAGACAAGCCCTAACTTGGAATCCTGAAGGGAAGCGGAAAAGAGGAAGGCCAAAGAACACATTGCGTCGGATAATAGAAGCAGATATGAAAACGATGAATTACAACTGGACGGAGCTAGAAAGGATTGCCCAGGACAGGGTTGGATGGGGAATGCTAGTGAGCGGCCTATGCTCCTTCACGAGGAGTAACAGGCGTAATTAAAGTAAGTAAATCATAAAAATATTCCAGAATCTGCTTCCTATCAAATTGTTGTATTATCATGATAAGATTTTTTCTTACATCCGATATTCGATGTCGATAATTGTAGTCAAAGATTCAATTAGGTTCATCTACAATATTAGTAGTAAAATTCTCAATTTTATATCCAAACGGTTTTATTTATAGTAAAGTAAGTATAAAAGTATCCTGAAGAAGTATGGGTTTTGTATCGAGGACAATTCTAGTACTGTTACAGAGTAATTATAATCATGTACAACAAAAGAAAAGGATTAGAACAGAGAGTACTGGAAAAGGACTCCGAAAATTACTGTGATAGGTCTTCTGTCATACGTGTGCTAGGTTGTTTTACAGCTAACTGATTCGGATAGATATTATTTAAACTAGTTAAATTGACCAGAATAGTGTCAGCGTAAAACATCTGCAAGAAAGGAGATTTAATAATTAAGGTCAGTACTAAGAATGAAAAAACATTTAATGATCATATAATTTCACTAGTCAAAGATGTAAGCATTTTTAAGGCAGTTTCGGAGGAGAGGTAATTATCGATGTAGCAACAAATGATGGTGGTGGATTTATTTCACCGTTACAATTCAGCAAACTTTTACAGAGTTCCAAAAAACTAACAAAGTGATTCATATAAAAAGATTTTAAATGTGGGAATTTTATCTTAATTGAGAATGGACTAATTCATCTGGAAATTATTGCTTACTTGTCATGTTTGACTAAACAACTGTAAATAGTTGTCTGTTTCTGTCATACAGAACGACGTAAGCAGACCAAAGTCATCTAATGAAATGGTATTCGGGTGCTTTTATGAGCACTGATTGTTCATGGAGAGGATAGTAAGTCTGTTATTTATTGAAACAAAATCCAAATACTTTCAATTCAAAAATAGTGCAAGCATTCACATATTTTTAACCTATACTCAATACTAAGTTAACTGTGAAAGTTTTTATTTACCTGAAGGTTTCGATCAAAATTGGCTTCCTTGGTCTATTTGGAGTGACTGTGATCCAACTACAAATATTCAAATACGGAAAAGGCAATGTCGACCCAATGCAGTTTGTTCTGGAAGCAGTATCGAACAACGATCTTGTTTGGACGATGACAGCTGGTTTAGAAAATCCAATGTTATACCGAAATCAGGTAATTAAGCAGCAAGTTCATTTAAATACTTACAAATATAACATAAACGTCCAATTAAATAGTTGTATATGGTTTCATTGAAATCATAAACCGATCTGAACTGAACCACCATTGTAAAACTAAAACCAATGGAGGGTCGTTATCTTATAGAACGGCGCGCCTCATAAGTGCGCATTCGCGATCCTACACACAGGAATCAAACCCAGGACTCTGAATCTCAAACGTAAATCCTAAACCTCTAGACCAACAATGTCAATGTCCAACCTCAATCAATCCGCGACGTTGCGTGATCATCTTTCATTGTCCTCAGTGGATTACTACCTCACACCCAACATGGAAAGTAATATACTGATTTTATTTTCAAAGTATCATTTAGTGACAAAATGAGGGGGGTATCGTTATTATTACCATCAAAGATTCGCAGAATTTTGATTTACATGGGATCGTTGTGAGTTTTAAGCACATATAATTTAAATTTGAAGCAAGATGGCAAACTTTGGACACAATTCATAAATATACATTACCAAAATGAATTTAATGGGTAAAATTCACCTAAAATTTCTATTCCATCACCCTTCTTCTGAAACTTATTAAAATACCTTGTGCTGAGAATTGTATACCGTATCAATAATAGTCGAATAATAATAATAATAATCGAAGCGCCTATTTAGTTATGATGTCTGAAACAAATGCTAGTCTGTAACAAAATCCGTGAAATGCTCTCAATTGAAAAGAAATAAATTCATATCTGTGTTCATTCAGGGAATGAACTGAATTTAGAGATGAGATATGAACAAAGTTATTCCAACAAAAATATTATTTAAAATTTAATATCCTTCTTAAGTAATATTACAAAATGAACCAAAATTTATCTAACGTCATTATTTCAATTGTCTAAACGACTGGAATATAATGAAATTTTCATTAATTTTTATTGACTGTTCATTATTGAATCTCTTAAAAGTTTTTATTAATTAATCATTTTGTTTTTCTTTGTATGACCTAGCCAGTTACTATAAATCAAGAATTCATTACACTACACAAGCTGACGGTTACACTCTTACACATTTGATACTTGTAGTAATATGTGGATTATTAACTGGTAGTTTGTTAACAGTTATATTATTTTGGTCATGTAGATGTCATCGTTGGTCATATGTTGTGGATGATATTGCTAAATTAACAAAGAAAAATCATATGAAAACTATTCCTACTCATTGTAAAGGTCATCTACCTTATGAAAGTCAACAAACTTGTTTAACTACTAGCCAACCGTTAAGTAAACATTCATGGAGTTTAATTGATGAAAAAGAACCTATCTGGTGTAATAAATCAGGTAATATAGCACAAGCACCAACAGATACACGTTACGAATATCTACCATCTACTCATGTTATACCAACTAATACCAGATTTAACAGATCAGTTGGTCGAAAGTCAACAAAAATATGTCATTTAAACACCCCATGTCATGATATATCGACAAGTGTATACTTACTATCCAATACACCGTCACCAACTTCAGTGACAAGTAACCCGTCAACAACTTCAACGTTACTGAAAGACAAGTTTACATTTGATTCATTTGCTGAACAAAATTCAAATGTTTTAGGTGATTGTAAAACTAATCTAATTAATATTACACCTGATAACAAAAATGAGAATAACAACGAAAATCTAGGGAATTTATACTTAACTGGTTATTTCTATGCTGCACCAATAGAACCAATACATAACCAACCGATAACATCAACAAAAACTTCTTTACCGACAACAAGAATCAATATTGAATTACCTGAACATCATGACTATCAAACTAGACAAATCCCTACAATATCTTCATATTATAATCAAATAAATACTGGTCTTGTTATTCCAAAATCTATTCTTGTACAACCTACATTGTCATCATTTAGAGAAAATGAACACTTAAACAATAATATCATTAGTAATACTATGATAACAACAAAATGTATTGATGGTGAAACTTTTAGAGTTACAGAAAATCCAGTACAACTTTCATAATCTTGTTCTATAGGTTATAAACGCTTTTTCTTCATAAAAAACAAACAAACAAACAAACAAACAAAACATGGTTAAACAAAAGAATTCAACGATAATGTTTTAGGTAATAAATAATTTTCAAAAGTGTCAACATTCAATATTTGTGTGTAAAACCAAAAAAAAAAAAAGTAAAAATTCGTTTTTCTTTCATATTTCTTCATGTAAACGTGATTTAAAATATTTAGGAAAAAAAAGTAGTATGAAACGAAATCTTCAGAAGGATATTTCATCATTGTCCTGTACAATCTTGTTTATCAACTTGAATTATTTAAAATGATGTTTATCATAATTATTATTGTTATAAATATTATCATTATCATTAATAATAATAATAATAATAATAATAATAATAATAATAATAATAATAATAATAATAGTCTCTTTGAGAAAATATTATTATCATTACTATGAATAAAACTATAAATTTACATGGAAATCTATATTGGAACGACTACTTAAACACTTAAATTGAATGTATTATCCTTAAAGAAACATTAGAAGTTAGCTTCATATAATATAAGACTTATATATGTAAAATTTATCGATGTATTTAGTCATTTTAATTAATAATTGTAAAGTTTGTTTATTTTATACAACAAAAACAACAAAAGTATTATTGCATGCTTAACATTTGTCTTGTTTATTTTGTTTTGTTTTGTTATTTGCCTTAACTAGTTAAAATATTTTCACATAGTTGTCAAGAGAATTCAATCATCTAAACACTGATCTGTATATTATTGTTTATCTATACAGACTTTGATGATTCTATTCAAACAAGATACTAATCAATTTCAGGACTTCTGATAATAATCATCTGTTCACTAGTGACTGACTTCAAGAGATACTCCTGGGGTTCTAGTGAGAAGCTGTTACCAGTGGAGTTCAACCAGGTCTGTTGTGAGATATCAGCTCACTGAAGACAATGGTATACGGTGGAGCAACTTCGTGGTTTGGTTGAAGTTAGACATTAACACCGTTGGATGCCGGCCGGCTCAGTGGTCTAGTTGGTTAAGCGCCTGGCGCGAGACTGATAGGTCCTGGGTTCGGATCTCGCGGGTTGCAGGATCGTGGATGCGCACTGCTGAGGAGTCCCATACTAGGGTGGAACGACCGTCCAGTGCTTCCAGGTTTTCCATGGTGGTCTAGCTTCGATTGATAAATGATTCCAATCAGTGAAATTTCTAAAATCTCCACAAAACCCATTCCGATTATAGTTTAAGTTTTAATTTAATTCAGATTAATATTGTCGTGTTCGTATAAAGCTACTTATAATATCAATGCAACTTTTGTATGTTAGTAATTAACTGAAATTATGAACAAAGTATTCAAGATGGATCTAGTATATGACTCAATTACAAGAATTATTATACTTAAACTTGTAATTTGAGCAGTTTGAATGCCAAAGTTGAATTAACCAGACTATATAACTGATAAGCCTGTTTGCGAACGGTAGAAACTATCGATTGATATTGTTGTTCGATCTTCATGGTTAAATCTGTTAGTTGTTGTGGTTTATACCATTTTTGTGATAGTAGAGTACAGAGTGAATTTTTAATGACCGTTGTACTTCTACTGATAAAATAGTAACCACGCAATATCAATTCATTCAGGTGAGTTGACATATTGGAGTTTGACTGTTAGGAATTGATCAGCACTAGAGAAGGACTTGACATACATAACATTAGTCACTACTCAGTAATCAATCAGTTGTGAACACGTTACATTTCTATTAGTGTTTTAAATTTTCCAATTAATGTTTTGTACTCTAATTTATCTATCTCTTGACATACTTGTATTCTGTGCTGATTGCCTTGATATTCCAATTATGACACATGTAGTTTAGGCAGAGTTGGATGGTGGATAAATATGAAATACAGGACTGGCGTTCCATCTTATTTGCGACTCATCAGATGAATGTGCCTAGACCATAGGTGATAAGTCTTACTAATTCAACGCTATATTCGGTTCCTAAGCTATTCTCGTAACCCCCAAGCTAGAACTACACAACTACCTGAACACGATAGAAAAGGCAAAAAATATGCAAGAAGCACTTTTTACTCCAAAGGTTCGTTTTAGTACAGAAAATATAGGGTTTTTATAGTATTTTAGGTATCCTTGGGTCTCCCGAAATTTCTGGGATGCTACTAAACATAGTAGTAATATTGTAATCAGCTAATCGGAAGCTCTACATTTGACTTTTCAATTTCTTGATGTTTCTGGCTAAACTTGAAGTGAACGCTGGTTGGATGAAATGCTTCTTAGCGTTTCTTGAGCCTTTCTTGTTTTTTGCGAGAAGTTTTCTGAATCACCCCAACAATGAGGTTGATGTCCAACCCAGGGTTCAAAATAACATAAGGGTAACCTATTTCTTTTAATCTACCATATAACAACTGGGTCTCTAAAACAACTTATACTGCCAAAATTATGTCAGTTACAATTCATTAGTTTCCTCTAGACTGGAATAGAAGCATTTTTTAATACGAATGAATTCGTTTTATTCACAGTTCATTATGTTCGAAACGCGGAATTATCAAATCGAAACAAATTATCGATACACTTCAACCAGGTAAATTCAAAGCAAAATAACTGAGAAAATCCAAGGCAAAAGAAAGACGAAACTCTTATCTGGAGTGATAATTAAAGCATATATATAGATAGCTTTTTGTGTAGGATTGTAGTTTATCTACTTACGCTTCATATGTTACAGACTTCATATTTCTATTCAGTTAGCTGGGGCTTTTACCAAATCACTGACTATCTACTAACTCCTTACAACTGAAAACAGTAAACGTGTATTAATATCAGTGAGATCCTGCATTTTTACTAGTATTATTGATGGCACAAGGATTAATGGAACCTATCATTTACTATCAATTCTCAAATGATTAGTATTTCAATTATAAGACGACTTTTAGGGTGTAAGTAATCATCATTTTCTTTGATGAGGCTGTTAAAGTTTTAGCCATTTTATGATTTGACCTCAACTATTCTGTGATTTGTCTATTTAAACGATGTATTTCTGATTGGTTATAGCTTTCATTTAAAAAGTAGTGAAGGATAAACTTTTTGTTTTTATCTATTTCGACCTTACGGGTTGCGATTCAAGGAAGAATGTTAAGATTTATTCTAATTTTATCAATGATTTTATATCATTCTCTTACTGTGGCAACAGAATTTGATAAATGTGTACAAATGTTGATTGATCTTCCCAACTGTATGATGGAAAAATTCCGAGATCGTAAGTTCGTTTATAAAATAATTCATTCAACAAGGTATATTCTCTACCTTTGTTTTTTTCAAGATCTTATTAACTGAGTATACTAAAAATACTAATTGTACACTTTGAACCTTAGAATTAAGTTTAAGCGCGTAGTCTATGAATTTAAACCAAGAAAGCTATCGCAAAGATAAAGTTATCTTGACCAGTTCGAAGTCTTTGTCAATTTGTTGTTCTGTGCAGTGTAACCTTTCAGGGAGTATCCCTTGGTTACCATTTATTTCCCCTTGTCAAGTTATGAAGAATGAAGAATAATTGGATATACTAAAGATTTACCTTGATAAATTATTACTTATGGCAAGTTGTTGTTAACACAATCTACAATTATTTTTTCGTTTGGTTATTTACTTTCCACACAGCTATTTATCTATATGAACCCGTAGGTAACTAGAAATGTAAATCAGTTTATTGTACAAGATTTCCCTAGACTGGTTATAAAAACGCAAATATGTAGAAACTGTCATACAAACCAAAAATGAGGTATATATATATACTTATCATTTTGTAAATATCTCCATAACTAGTGGACTTACGTTTTATATGTATAGAAAAACTGATCACTTCAAGATAAAGACGTGATTCGGTACACCTAGCTTGCACTACTCATGTGTACAATCTAACTATATGATCAGTAACTCTGATAAACTAAATGTCAGACTCGGTAGAGATAATGTTTAGTTTTAGTTTTTTGCAACTTATTTACATTATTTTTACTTGGATTTCAATGTCATTCTTACCCAAGAAACAAAAGATATCCAAGATAAACTAAAGGAATGCAAAGAAGCTGCAGAATGTAAAATGCAGTATATTATTTGTGTACAATCAAAACTAGCTTTATGTGATGACGAAGTTATCAGAAAGCAAGTTCAAGAACAATTGAAATCATTCTTGCAGTAAACTTGGTTCATACATATATTATGAGACTGATGTCAATAGAACAGACGATCTGGTTAAGTAATTTCTGTCATATTTTACCGATAATATTTTTTTCCTTGCACATTCCCTGCATACTTGTCATACATAGACTTCACACAATTATGAGATCACGTCATCTCTTTCAAGTAGAATTTTGTGCTTTATATTTAAATTAATAAATATCTTATCAATATAGTTTAAAAGGCTATTTCAAGCAACAGAGTTGTATTATAGATTCTCAATATTGTTCAAACGAAACAGTGTTTCCAGTGGATAACTACTAAATTTAGTTCATATATTTAGTATAATGTGGAAATGGTTGATGACCTCCAGTTGTATTGAAATTACCTTTAGTGCGTACCACAACAGAAATAACGAGAAACCCAAGGCATTCTGAAAATGATTAACATTATTTACAGACGCTTGATGAAATAACTACTAGAGTAGAGAATACTGATACTGGGAAATCAGTTTATATCGATCAAAGGAACTTCACCAGAAAAAGATAAGTATTAAACCCTGAGTGCTAATTACTAACCAATGTTATAAGAAAATAGTGGATGGTAGTATCAAAACTTTCCTGTAAGAAATGACATCAAGAACGGAGAAATCAGATTAGTGATGTCATTAAAGTAACCAGACAAAAATATTCTCTATACATAAAGGCTTATCTACCACGTTAGATGCGGTAATACAGGAAAGGGTTGTGTCAGTCTTTTCGATAATTGATAAAACAAATTTTCGAAAAACAATTAAACAAGAGGTGCTATTAGAAGATGTGTTAATACAAACAAAACTAGTATACATAAACAATCATTTCTCCAAGAAAGAAAAAACCAATTAAAACAGCACTCATAAAAACCCAATCGTCAAAATACGAAAAATATTCCTGTGAGCCAGTAAATATAATTCTGCACTAAGGAAAGAAATATGTAAATTCAGATTGCTTTAAACATGAGCGATAAATCAGAAAATGAGAATCATATAAAAAAGCAAGGATTTCGCATAAAATTACCGGTTATTAAATGTGAACCCTCCTAAAAAAGGAGTGTTCCAGTTTCAGTTATAAATTACAGAAATCAGTTCATTTAGCAACAATCGAATGACTATTATTTGATATAGTAAACGCTCAAACGAATTGTTTAGTAAAGCAGAGATGAAGTAGCTGTCAAAGGACTCCACAAACCTAAGAAGTTTGTTAATTTCAGAATCCGTAAAAGTTATTATAACATAATAATCAAAAACGGATCAAAAATATGGACGTAATTTATTAGGAGACAGAAGGATTGCTTGCAGAAGTAAACATAGAAACTTCGCTATTCGGGTGGATGGATAAGAGATTTTCATATACAAATGTACACGGAAATACTTTCTGTCTACTCAACTCCTAATTGTGTTTTGTTCAAGTCTCTTGAACGGTTATCAACACTTGTCTTGTGTTACTTACCAGCGTTAATATAACATCCGTTCTACACCTTCAATAAATCTTTAGACCAAATAATTGTGTGATATTCTGTTATGAACGTCATGAATAAAAGAATGTATTCGTTAAGTGGAAAGTTCTGAGGCGAAAAATTCACGTGCGTAACCCATGTGTAATGCAATTAAATCAGCAAAACATACGAGATCCGTAGACTTATAGCGTGGCGTCGCGTCGAGATTGACTATGAACACCGCTACCGAGAAATACGTGCCAAATAAATCCATAAAATCCCCCGGAAGCCAAATATCAGAAGGCAGTTAATGGACCAAGTCGAGATATATTTGCTGGCGATCTCGTGGTATCGAAAGAATACCGAGATCGTGCCAGGATACAAGCTTGGTTACAGAGCGTAACCGAATTCGCGCGAGGTCACAATCGAAGTGTAAGAATAGTGGATGCACAGTTAAACAAAAGCACATTAAAACAAGCACTGGTACAGCTGGTTTTAATAATAATTGTTTTCATTAAACCAGTTATGTTCTCGCGATACAAATAAGTCACTACAGACTTACTTTGTTGCCTTCCACAATACTTCATCCTTTAATATATGGATTATTCAACACTCAAAATAAATTTCACTTTCCTGTTTAAGCCACCCTGAATTATGGGACTTCAAAATCCAAACTTCGAAATCGTACGTTCATAAAATCTACACTAAAATTATTCGACTAGCACAAGTTGAATGTTAGGACAAATAAACTATATCATGTACTACCACAGGTGAATACCGTAGATATGTGTAGTCGAGGTTTATTTGCTGGCGATCTCGTGGTATCGAAAGGATACCGAGATCGTGCCAGGATACAAGCTTGGTTACTTTAGGTAACCGAATTCGCGCGAAGTTACAATCAAAGTGTAAGTATAAGAATGGAAGCACAAAATAGCTGTCATTAGCACAGTCAAACAAAAGCACGTTAAAACAAACACTGGTACAGTTGGTTATAATAATAATTGTTTTTATTAAACCAGTCGTGTTCTCGTGATAAATGTGAGTCACTACAGGAGCCCCCCGCTAGAAAGGGTTAACACTTTCGATAAATAGTGGTTTAAATCGTGGGACTGATCGGCTAACGAGCGATTGTAGGACGGAAGATTGGCGAACAGGAAAGCGATCGTTGATCGTCGAGTTGCCAAGGAAGGTCGTTTTCGGAGAACAGTACCAGGAGCGATGTGTTGTATTGATTGCTCGAGTTGGCATGCTACACCAGAGTGGTTTGTATCCAGAATCTGAAGAGGGCGTTCGTAGGGAATGCGGACCAGAAACGCTGCAGACGTAGGACGAAACCACGTTGAGCCAAAAGACCAGAAGCGACCATAACGACCAAGTTCGAGACCAAGCGTATACCAAGCATTCGAAACCAATATATCGACTGAGTACGTTGACAAGAGCATGGGTGGCCAATCCAGCTTTCGCCAAAGTTGACTGAAGTCGACGGAACCAAACGGAGATGGTCGAAGGCGTGGGCTCAGGAAACAAAAAGAAAATAAAAAAAAGAGTGTAGCATACGTGTAGTATAGGAATAATCCTACACCGTATCGGTTATTGACTGTGCGACTAGTCGCGGAAGCGTACGGGTAACCGTACTCGGCGACCGGAACGTGAGACGGCAGTCTCGTTCGCGTCGCGTGAGCCTACAATCTCATCCGAAGTCAAGGGCGGCGTGGTCTGCTGATCTGGACGTGAGACTGTCATCTCGTCCGTAGACGGTGCAGATGACGCGTGCTGTTGACTGGGACGTGAGAATGAGGTCTCAGATGTATCTAGCGTGGGACCTGAAGATTTAAGGATCCCGCTAGGTTTAATAGGTCTAGCATTGAATCTCAGGTTACCAGATAGGGCACTGTCATTGACGTGTACTGGTTTGAAACGATCAATGCTGACGATCTCGACGCGTCCATGTCGATCAACCTTGAAGGTCTTTTCGTGACGAGCGATCACGTGAAAAGGGCCTTCGTAAGGTTGTTGCAAAGGTTTGCGTACCGAATCTACTCGTACAAAAACATGTGAACAGGTAGATAACTCTCGAGGGAGAGCGACCTGTCGATGTTGTATTCGAGTTGACACCGGAGACAGCGTTCACATAAATGCAGACAGTCGACGGACGTTGTCTGATTTACCGAAATTAGGTCTGCTCCGTGGTGTGAAGGATTCTCCGGGCAGACGCAATGTCGTGCCGTATACCATTTCAGCGGCGGAACATTGTATATCTGCCTTCAAGCTCGTTCTCACCCCTAAAAGAACGAGCGGCAAGGTTTCGTGCCAGTTGCCGTTTTCGTGTGCTCGTAGAACACTTTTAAGTTGGCAGTGAAACCGTTCAACTTAACCATTTGGTGCTGGGTGGTAGACGGATATGCTTATGCGTATGCATTCCGTACCAAGCAGCCGGGTCAGCGAGGAGAATCGTTAATAGGGTAACATTTCTCGAATAAAGCGTGGAATTCATCATCACGCGAATAAAAAGTGACAAGGATTCGGTACACATACGTGTGAGTCTATTATATTAATACTATTCTTATCGCTATCCGTCATGTCGCGTATATTATATATTAAAAAATATGAAAATATACGACAGACGTGGATAGATAAATCATAGACTCACCGAATTGGCTTCTTTGGAAGATTTGGTCAGAAGTTGAGGCGTGTTCCAAAATACGGGTCACCAATTGTAGTCGAGGTTTATTTGCTGGCGATCTCGTGGTATCGAAAGGATACCGAGATCGTGCCAGGATACAAGCTTGGTTACTTTAGGTAACCGAATTCGCGCGAAGTTACAATCAAAGTGTAAGTATAAGAATGGAAGCACAAAATAGCTGTCATTAGCACAGTCAAACAAAAGCACGTTAAAACAAACACTGGTACAGTTGGTTATAATAATAATTGTTTTTATTAAACCAGTCGTGTTCTCGTGATAAATGTGAGTCACTACATATGTATCCATTGACATGATTACTATGATTATTGTTGAACAGAAAATTCCTAATACTTTCTTTATATAAGTAAAAACAACCGTGAGCATTCGTTTGTCTAAAGTTTAATGGAATCCTGAAAAAATTTCTGCAAACCTCACCGTAGTTTATTTGACTGCCAGCTTCAGGAAAATATGAAATATATCCAAAGTATTTTCAACTCCACGTTCATTTTTTGTTTAACGTTTTAAACCCCCAAACTTAATATTGAACGTTTTGTTGTCAAGAAAAAAACGAGATCTGAAACAAAATGTGAAGAAACTGTAAACGTAATACCAACTCCCAATTACAGCACACAGGAATTGATGGCCGATTAGACTTGAAATCATATTTCTCCTGATTGTTCTTAAGCGTTCCGTAGTATAATAATTATGGCCTCAGAAAGATAACGAGAAATTCGGATTTCACAAACGAACCAGTTTGTGGAATAAAAACCGGTGAACTTCGGAATTAACTATTGAGCTATCAGATTCGAAAAATTAAAAATAACATTTAGAAAAGCAAAGTGTACATGGTTCAATACCATTTATTGTAGACATTCTTTTTAACAGATTAAAGGCCTGAATTCGAACTGAAACAGCATATAGCGCGCACGAAGAATTCAGACGGTACATATTAGTTCAACAGGATATTGTTTATTGAAACTTGTGTGTTTGCTGATTTGGCGGCATAAATGAGTCAAGGTCGGGGCTTGAAAGGTAAACTTGATTGGATAATTGGGTCCTCTTATTACTCAAAATGATACTTAGAAATTCATAGGAAGGGTCATTTTGCAGAATTCTGTGATTAAGTGGCTTCGGAGGCTATGAATGTATACATGAAATACCGCTCCATCACTCATCGATGTTTACTAATCAGCGATCAAAAAAGTTTGATTTTTCTGAAGGCAACAAAATAAGATTATTGTTTATGAAGGGAAATTTCGGCGATAGTTAGTTGATTTTGGGAAATAAGTGACCCTCTATCTGACTCCCATTTGCTTGTATGCTGATCGTCATCGAAATATATGTATCGCCTTTACTCTTATATAATTATGGACTCAGTCCGCCTTAATGAACATGGAAAAATGCAAGAATGGACCATAAATATTTATATTCCATCAACTTATTGGTTTGAACAGACAATCGGGGTAACGATGTGAAGAAAGCAAATAGGAATTAGCAAATTGGATCGGAATGACTGATAATAGAAAAGGCGAGTGAGCCAACTTGCTTAGGCTAAATGGTTGTTCAAAATTGGTGCGAGGAAGTAAGATTTGAATTCACGGTTGGACGTTGTGGTTAGAATTTGTCATTTAGGTTCTCATCGTCGACTGATATCATTTATGATGTCGAAATGCTAATTAGCTATATAGGTGAATAAATTTCTCCCTGTTATGCTCCCTCACTAAACTCAAGACATCAAGAGGATTACAGGCTAATATCTGCATATTCTATAATCTGAAATAATGTTTTTCTGATTGTTCTCTTCGACGTTCAAAAGCATAAGAATTAAGTATTATTTGGGATAAATGACGCTTTAGTACATGAGTGTATCATTTGCTCCTTTAAATAAGAGCTTTAGATTTTGCAATACTTCCAAAATACTGTATTACCAAACTGCTTCTCCAACTCACCCACTCTCCTTTCCGGTCGAAGTTGCTCATAAACTTTAATGTTTTCTATATTATAGTCGCTTAACAATTTATTACCATGTATCTATTTATGTACTTATATTGTCCTTCATTTGTCTCTCTGCTGAAGATGCGCGCAGTGTTAATCAAAAACTTTTCACACACATCAGTTCTCGAATTACGGTTTCAGGATGTTTATCAGTTAGTTAAAGGAGAATTTTCACTATTTTTCACCCCGTTTACTTATAACCCTACCGTCAAGCATTTGTGGTGTAAGACAAGCTATAATTTGTGGTCGCTCTAGATTCTGATACCAACTAGTATAACAAAATAAGTATAATTTGTTCTGAAGAAAGTAACTTATATAGGATATCATCACTTTAGTTCATTCTATTTTTTGAATACTTCTAACTAAGTTGTCCTTGTTGATTAATCTTTAGTGTTGAAAAGATTCGAAAAATTTATATTGTACCCGAATTTTTAAATACAAGTGCAAGCCAGTTTATAAGATTATGGGCTTGCTTCAAAATAGTCTTATCAGATGCTGTAAATACAAAACTACTGTGTAAGATAAAATGATGATTCAGTCATGCTCAACGTGGAAGCTGAAAAATTACAAAGGTTCAAGTTACTACATCTCATTAACTCAGCAAAATGAAACTCAAAATAAATTCTAGAGTAGTACAGTTAGTAACATCGTTAGTAGTGGTACAAGACATTAGGCATCGAAGGTGCGATTCTAGAATAAAATATAGAGTAGTGGAATAAAAACTTTTTGTTTGGTAGTTTGAAAAATACAGATCTTAGGAAAGACAAATCGGATACTGCTGCGCGATTGTGAACAGTTCTGAGCAATGTCACCTATAGTCTTGATCCATGGATTACGAAAATCGCGCGTATTCCAACTGGGTAGCTTACATTTGCTTGTATAGCTCAGTCCGACAGTCAGTGTCTTTACGGACTGGTATCATTTTTTGGTTTGGCGGCCCCTTGTTCTCTCGCAGCCTTTTCCTACAATCTGTAATTTCCTGTTGAGGTAATCAGCAGAAGGGCATACCCAATACATGTCTTAAGTATCTGCTTGTTGAGGTGGAACACTTTGTCCCACCCAAGTATTTTTCACTGGTTTTAACTATGTACTTGAGTGTTAAAGCCTCCTGCCACAATTAAGTCTAGGCGTTCGGTATTTGCAGGAGATCGAAAAGCTTTATGTAAAACATTCTCTATTTCGTCCCAACTTCAGTGAAAGCATAAGAATAGATGGTGAAGAGCCAAAGGCGTGTTTCCTTATCTTTTCTTGTTCTTACTTCCCCATATAGTCTGGCAACGCACAAGTCGCTGTTTTAGGAAATTCAGTTTAGAAGGCCTTATTCTGCTTTATAACTTAGTACTGTACATACACCGGGAAACCCAAGAGAAGCCACAGTCAAGTCCTCAGATGCACAGAGGGCAAACAGTGTGGTTCCTCTTATTTATTAATGAGGTTAAATGAATGACCACTCTTGAATTCTGTATGCGTATTTTGGAGACACAGTATATATCAATGGCACTAACTTCTAGAATCCTAGCTAAGGAAGATTGTTAGTCTGTTTGAAATAAAGTCCTGACATTTTGTTTAGGTCGCGGTCTTGAGAGACTCAAACAGCGTTTGTGACTTATGAAGATAAAGTCACAGAAGAGTTGACAGTGGTGATAGAAAGAAGTGAGAAGTGACGAAGAGCTTTGATCGAAAAGATCTCTAATGGCGATTGTAACTTCCCGATTGCCCACACCATGGAAGGATATTTCTACTTGAGAAAACTGAGGAAGAGATTGGGTTGGTAGTAGTGCTGTCCTAGGAGCGTGAACTCAGTGGACAACTGTTTTAGGCAAGTCACGCACGGTTTTTCTGTGAAGTTTATAATGTGTTGGCCCTGTGTTTCAAAAGACCTTACCACCGGAGACGGAAATCCGTGAGGTAAGGTGGGGTGTGGCATTTTTAGGGCTGATCTTTCCCAACTCACTCTCCCCCATGTGACAAAGCTGCATCGCTGCAGATGCTGGCTGTCTGAGGGGAACACAGTGCTGTGATATCTTTGTACAATCAGCAGTGCAACTTCGTCCTTGGACCGCAAGTTGTAGCTTTTAGTCTTGCTGTTTCCTAACCGACCTACCTGGTATTGTAGGGCTTAAAGGAACAAGTTCCAGTCAATATAACTTGATGAGCATTTTGTGATAGACAAACCATCACGTCTGGTGATTATTAAATCACGCTTATTTTAGATAAATACTAATATGGCCGTACCAAATGTATTCCATCATTCTACCAGGTACTTGGTTATCAGCCATCAAATAATGGGTTCAGTCTCTCTACATATATTTTAGTTTTTGACGGAGTTTTGTTCTTTGAGCTGGATGGTTTCGTCGTGAAGCTTTCAGATGGATCAGAGAACAAAACTCCATCAAAACCATCCACCTGAGCTATAAATCTTCCCCACCATCTCAATATATTTTATTTTCCATTATCTTGTAATAACTTCAATCCTTTTGAAGTAATATAGTAATAATATCTGTAATGCCCAGTCAGTATTTGGTAGCTCTTCTTTTTGTCGTTTAGACCAGTATGGAGTGCCTGAGTTCAGAATCGAGCGCAGTTTGTGACAATCAAGCTACCAATAACATCAGAAATTCCAAACCTAAAAGCGATGCATCTAAGAAAAAGAAAACATCCAAAAAGTCACATCATCATTGCAGTCACAAACAAAACAATAATGATTGCTGCAAAACTGCTTGTAAACCCGACGTTCTAAGAAATCTTTCAACTGTAATTCAAAACTGGAAGTTGGGTGATAAAGCTCCATGCCACAAAACAGCAAATATTGAAAGCACTTTTAAAAACATTGAGAAACGAATCATTCATGGAAGTGTTGAGAAAGTTTCACCTGATTGTCAGGCTCCTGGAGGTGGACTAGCTTACCCTAAAGAGACCAAGTTTATTTTTCATTATCAAATTCGTAAACTGGATGAAGACCGTACCGTGATTGATGATACCCGTAGGTATGGAAAAACGATGGAGGTGTACTCGGGAAAAGAATTCCAACTGGAGGTAAGAAGAGCACGATTTAGTTATTGGTAATGACGAAGAATAGTCTTGTTTTTTTCAAGTCAGTTCATCAAGAATGTTCATTTGTATTCGTCATATGAAAACGAAACATTACAAGTCTTTTCCAACTTAAATGAGATATATTTTCATGTTTAGTCCAAAGTAGAATTATAGCTGCATATAACTGACTGTTAGGCATATCTGATAGGTATCTTTTAATCCTTCATAATAAGCTAGCAATAACTACCCGTTTTACTGAGTTTTTCAGAATCTGTTATAGTTAGTCATAGATAATCTGATTATATAAGCAGAAATAAAACTTAGTTATCCTCTTAACCAATTATAGGTTCAATTGCTTCGTCTATTATTTTCACTTTCCACTCATATTTCCACATTTTCTTATTACTTTATAAGGTCGCTAAAATCAATAATTTACAGTTAACTTTTCCTTTCGTTATATATTCTCACCAAGTTAGTGTTTTTTTATTTACCTCCCCCTTTGTGACTGCAATCCGTGATCTTTGTTTTCTGTACTTGTTTCACTCACTTACATGCTTTCTGTAGGTTACAGTTTCCTTTCCAATGCATTTAAAGTATAATTATATGGTTATTGCTTACGAGGAAATTCGTTGTAATACTAAACTGTTTGGAGCAGAAAAGAGGCTACAATACGATACAAATTTATTCTTGCTTTATTTACTATCACTATCAAGGCAACTAAATAAACGTTTATCTTCCTGGTTTTCAATCTAATAAAGATAATTTTCTACTTCAAATTTGTTGATCCTTGGCTCATATCTCACTTTACCTACTTAGGTTTGGGAAATCTTGTTAAACTACTCCTTAACTTAAAGATCTGCGTCGTGTACTATACATCAGTGAGTTTGAGGGGATCTTTCAATCCTCAGAATGTTCATACTACCCTTAGAACTCCATACTGTTGTTGAGCGGAGTTCTATAATTTGATGAGTGACGACCGTGATAAACTCTCAAGGTGTTGGGGAGAATCCAACTCGATAGATAATGCTTAGTTACAGGATTTGCCCGACTGATCGCTTCTCACGAGACTGAGTTATTGATGCAAACCCTAAATAAATTGATATACAAGGCTAGCACAGTTACTGACAAATACGTTCCACTTGTAGTAAAATAGCGTCCTCGTGCACAGAATACTAGACATCAAATTGAACGTTATTAAATGTCATTTAAGAAGTAAGCCATCGGTAGATAAAATTTTACTGAATGACCCATTTTCCAACAGAACTATGACACCTGGCTATCAACCTTAGTTTTTGCTCTCCATATTACGAGTTGATGTGTGAGGTAGCGAATTTTGAAAGGAGGTGGATTGATAACTTAATTCCCTATCATTCCACTGATAGATCTATCGCAAAGTTGTTATGAACTGACTTCAACTATATTTTTGTAACCTTGACTCACTTCAGCTCTTAAGATTACTCAAGAGGTGCACTTCTCTATATTTCAATGTCCCTTTTTAGTTTTGGGAACAATGTTTAGGAACTATGTTGCCTGGTGAAGTTTCATCATTTGTTGTACCACCTGAAAGGTTGGCTTCATTTCCAGCTGTAAATAAAAAACTGCGTGATTACATGTTAAATAAAAAAGATCATTCTGCAAAACACTGTTGTGGATTAATGAGCTTACAAGAGCAAGGTGGTTTGGGCTACCCAGATCTGGACGAGTTGATGATGAAACCTGAAGCACTTGAATTTATTTTTGATTTAGTTAAGTAAGTTTATCCATTTGGTTTTGTTATTTCTTGGTGTTTGGAGAAGAAAATTATTTTGATACGTTTAATTAATCTAAATTATAATGATAAATTTCATACAATATGAACAGTTTGATGATATGTATCGTGAATACTGTCGTTTCACCTACCAGTCATATACATAGTGTTTGCTTTATAAAAACCTGTCAATACCGAGTTAGTATGAGCTGGGTTCTAACTCGATTTTATAACTGAAAGTTGAGCGCTAAAACCACAGATCTATAGTTTACAATCATCAAAATAATCTAGTTGCGGTGTCTTTAACACAATAATAATAGGTTTTTTTTTATTCTCATCAAAATGTTTGCACTTTCATGCAAAAGTAAAATAAAGCTTCCTAGTGCATATTCCTACTCAGGATTCATGTAAAATAAAGCAATATCCAGTGCTTAGGTTACCGTAAAATAATTCGACTTTATGGTTATTTTGATTAATCATTCTGAAATCAATGATCAGTCACAAATAAAAGCAAAACCTAATGTAATACCTAATCAGAAAGCTTTATTAATATATTCCTACAACAATTATCAATGTATGATTATGTTTCTAATATTTTTTTGGTTTGGTAACAAATGAATGTTATATATATATATATATATATATATATATATATATATATATATATATATCAACTTAATTCTCATACGCTCTTCAACCGAGTTTCTGGATGGTATTTAATTCAAAGTCGTTAGTATGTTTTATAGGTGGGAGAATCGAAGAAATTTCCTATTAAATCAATAAGGGCGTCCTACTGGTCGTGAATTTTCAATGCTAATTATTTTTTCATGTTTTAGACCACACCCATGCACTGTACGCGGCTGTAATGTTAAAGTAAGAAGATTCAAATTTGATAAAATAATCTGTAATATGATACTTAGGAAAATAAGTCATATTTAATTAATATGATGTGACTACTAGCAATAGATATAAAATCTCGTCCCCGGATTTCGCCCTGGCTGACACTTATCTGCGACTTCAAAAAAGCAAGTGCTGCAGCACTGATCCGTACTCATGTCACTCAGTACTACAGTCACAGATGTCATTTCTGAGTTATTCAATTTGAAACCAGTATCCTATTACTATTCATTGATGCTGGTCGAATTCTACAGAACCATGGAATTAAAAAAACTTTAATAGTGTGGCGTGGTAAATATGATTTTATGACTTAAATGGTTAACAGTTTCAACTAATATTGCGTCCAATTTGTTTTATATCAAAAAATGAATTCAACCAACAACTGGAGATCGACCCAGTATAATATTGTTGTCATTGTCTCCTGACATTTATAAGTAATACTAATATCCTTTAGAGTTCATTAAAGAAAGGTTTCGATCAATAATTTTATTAGACATTCACCTGTTCATATATCAGTTTAAGACACTAATAAGTTATTTATCTTATTCAACAAAAATTTAAAGCCTGGCATTTGCTATATCTAAATATCATTTTTCTTTTATGCTGAATTGTGCAACTTGAATCGAACTGTTGGGAATGTACTCAATAATGAAATCTCGTGACCTTAATGCTCTTTTCACACACATTGAAATTCTTATTATTATATTTACGACCTGAGAATAAAGCATAGACACTCAACTGTAATCGTAATATCACACAAACCTAACTTGTGAGACCAAATCTAAAATATTTGAGAGTTCAATTGCTCATTATTTCTTTCTCCCATCAACAAAAGTTATGAACGTTAACTATTTTCTGTTATATTTCCCCTTCGTTCCACTCTGGATACAAAGAAAACTACTTGAGGTCATAGCTTCCTTGGCTAGAACCCTAGAATCTCGTACCATTGATGTATGCTGTGTCTCTGAAACACGCATACAGGATCCCAGTGTGTTCATCCACTTGACCTCACCTCGGCAAAACGGATAGCCAGCGAGATACATCCTCCGTGTATCTGGTGACCCGACGGCCAGCTCTCGTGGACTGGCAGGAGTAGGGATAGCATTAAGCATGAGTGGATCCCCGTTAACAGTCGTTTATGTGCTGTTCGGCTAAATGGCTCCGTAAGAACTCGGAAGGATAGGGACACACGTCGTTGCCTTTTTATCGTTTCTGCCTACGCTCCCACCGACTACAGCTCAGATGAAGTGAAAGATAAATTTTACAGAAAGCTATCTGAACTTCTTCAGAAAGCTAAACGTTCAGACATAGTACTCTTAGGGGGTGACTTTAATGCCCAGATAGGTAGTTTAAACCAAACAGAAAGGCATTTAGGTGGGTATTTTAGTATACCGGCACAGCGAACAGATGATGGTGATCGTCTGCTGCAACTGTGCTCAGACAATCGTTTATTTTTAGCAAACACAAATTTTAAGCATACGGAGAGACATCGTCTAACATGGCGACCCCCTACACCAAACTAACGATGGACTCAAATAGACCACACTAAAAAGACCCATAGGAATTGAATTAAATAATGAGAAAACCAAAAGTAGGTTCCAGGAACAACTGAGGTCACACTTAGGTAGTCCTGAAAACGAGGCTGACCCAGATGTTGCTTGGAAAGCTATACAAACAGCAGTGGCATCTATCAGTGATTTAAACCACAAAGAACCCATTCATTTCCTCAAGGTCTATTGCACTGATAGATTCTCGTAAACTCACCCCATCAGGCTCTGGACACGATGAAGAGCGTAAACAAATCAGATCTAGGTTAACCAAAAGTCTAAGGAACGACCGTGAGCAGTGTTGGGCAACGAAAGCAAAAGAGATGGAAAAGGCGGCGGCTATAGGGAACACAAGACAGCTCTACAGACTAATAAAAGAAACTGGAATTAATAAGTCAAGTGTAAGTCAGACTATTTCGGAAAAAGACGACACCCTCATCTGCTCTCAGTCCAGACGTTTAGAACGATTGTCGGAACATTTTAGAGAACAGTTCAGCTGGCCTTCAGCTACTCTACAACTACCCTCCATTCCCAGACAGCGTGGATGGAACATTGAAGTAGGTCCCTCAACTCTGGCAGAAGTTCTAGAGGCTATAGGTAATCTGAAACGAGGAGGGGCAGTTGGTCCAGATGGATTGGTTCCAGAGGTCTTTAAGGATGGTGGTCCAATTTTAGCGATTAGGTTGACTAATATTTTAGCTAAGATCTGGGAGTTAGACGTTATTCCATCTGACTGGTCGCAACCACTTATCGTCCCAATATATAAGAAAGGGTCAAAATCATCCTGTGACAACCACAGATGGATTAGTTTAACAAATATAGTATCTAAAATACTAGCCTCGATAATTATCAGACGCCTAACTAAGACTCGTGAACTGCAAACACGAGAGAACCAAGCTGGCTTCAGACCTGGTCGTCGCTGCTTCGACCACATATCATTTGTCAGGTTCTAGAACATAGGCATAGGCGTCCGACAATGGTGGTCTTTCTTGACTTGAAAGCAGCATTTGACTCCGTAGACGCGAGATTCTGTGGCAGTGTCTGTCATTGAAAGGCGTACCACAGAAGTACATAAACCTTGTAAAGGCTCTTTACTCGAACACTACTAGTCGAGTCAGGGCTTATGGCGAACTGTCATCTACTTTTGCAACCTCAATGGTGTCCGTCAAGGCTATCCACTTTCCCCATTTTTGTTTAACTTCATCATAGATCTACTGATGGAAATAACCTCGTCGACTGAGTTCTAGGGTATTGATCTCCTTCCAGGAGGTCCACTTATCGACTTAGAATACGCAGATGATATAGTCCTGTTTGGTGAAGACGCTGATAAAATGCAGACTTTTGGTAGCACTAAGCAACAATGCCAGAATGTTTAGAATGCGCTTCTCTCCCTCTCTAAATGCGAATCGTTGCTTCAGAACTGGCCTGCGTCAACACCTAAACTAAGGATAGGAAGTGAAGTAGTCGAACGCGTCGACGACTTCACTTAGCTTAGAAGTCAGATCAACCCTAATGGTTGGTGTCTGACGAAATCTCAGCACGGATTCGAAAAGCTCGTTTGACTTTCGCCAACTTACGTCACCTATGGCGAAGGCAAGATATCCGTCTATCAATAAAAAGACGAGTATACTGCGCGGCAGTCCGTTCTGTTTTAATTTACGGCAGCGAAACGTGGCCATTAAGAGTAGAAGATACTCGTAAGCTATTAGTATTTGACCACAGATGCCTTAGAAATATTGCTGGCGTCTGCTGGGATCACCGGGTAAGTAATAGTGAGGTTAGACGCAGGGTATTAGGGAATGATGGTAAATCAGTTGATGAGGTTGTGAATCTTCATCGACTGAGATGGTTGGGCCATGTGTTACGTATGACTGAACACCGACTACCACGACGTGCAATGCTATCCGGTATTGGAGATGGTTGGAAGAAAGTTAGGGGCGGCCAAACCAAAACGTGGCATCAGTGCTTGAAGTCCCTGACTTCTAGTCTGAGCCATGTTGGTAGATGCAGACTACTTGGTTGGGGTCCGCGTGACTTTCGTAACCAATGGTTGGAGACTCTTGGTGACATGGCTCAGAGTCGATCACAATGGCGTCGGTGTATACACTCTCTGTCTTCCCTTAAACCAAGAGATTAAAGTCGCTTCATATCTTTCTTTCTACGAACCAATTCTTTCTTCCTGTACTATATCCTTATTGCAATCTTTTTTTATATAATACCACCTCTGAATTAACTACTTTTATGAATCCAGTGTCCATCTTGTTGTGTTAATGAGGTATGGCAACTTGAACCGATGCATATATGTGCCTGGTCCTACGTTGTAGCTATCTGACTGGAGGTCATAGATTTTTCGATTATCATATTCAATAAACTATTTCCTTAGTTAGTTTCTTATATGTGAAATAGACTATAAAAGCTTCATAATAAGTGTCGTTCCTTTTACTTGTCCAAGTACTGACAAAAAGCAAGCCCATATGCTCAAAAAAGACAACACTTAGCTGTGAGGTAGTTAAATCTGAATCATTTTCTTCACTTTTCTACTAATTCCTAAAATTAAACTAATGTAAACTTAGGCCTCTTGGTTTATACAAAATTAAATAAGATTGGTTCAGCGAAGAGTTCTCCTTATATATATATATATATATATATATATATATATATATATATATACTTTTTTTTCAGGATGATAATAATTACAATAATAACAATAAACTTCTGTTAGACATAATAACAGTGAGGTAGAATAAAAAAGGTATTGAAATTTTTTTTAATCAAGGAAACTAATATTAGTTTGATTGTTAAGGGCTTAAATATTCATTATATAGATGGGGAAATTATGATTAGGAAAGGATGGCTCAGCATGGTAAGATAAAATTGAAATGAAATGTAATCAGGAGGATCATAGAAACAGAAGTAAACCAGTTAGGGGTAGAGGGTTTAAGGAGAAGATGGGGGGGAATAGATGGCTGTAAAGGAGGAATAGTATGATGGAAAAAATCACGAAACATTAGGACCATGGTAGAAGAAGAGGTTGTACCAATCTCTTTTGGACACACGATTCTGACTTTTCCAGATGTATAGCTATTGCTTCGGCAATGCTCAGAAGATGCAATATAACTACCTTTGGCAGACTTCTACTTACCTTGTAAATGACTTTGAACTGAGAAGCCGTCTTGATTGAGTGACATGTGTTCATAAAGTATTCGATTACTGAACTTTTATTTATCCGTTTCCGCCTCTTTTTAGTCACACTGGGTAATGTTCTTGAATTCTTTTGGATAAAGTACGCATCGAACGACCTATACACCTGGCTCCACACGAGCGGGCAAATTGGTAATTACACATAGAGTTGGTCCGATTAGATCATTTATCCTTAACATTACTGATGAACAATTATAGGCTGGAGAATACTATTCGCAACGTTGCTGCAAAGAACGCTCTTTTTGAAGACTCAGAAATTCTCCTCTTTAGGACGTTTGTAGCTCTATCACCCTTAAAATCGATGTTCATGTATAGTGTTTTCTTTTCGACTGAGGTTGTTTGTGTTTTAGGCCGTCTATGTTTTATGTTCTTGTCAATAAGTATCGAAGGATATCTGTTTTCGATAAGCATTTCCTTCAAGAGCCTCAGTTCATTATCGATGACCTCGAGACTACAAGTCCTTTGTATTCGCGTTGCGAGTGACATTATGAGGTTCCTTTTCCGACTAATGGGTAGCGAGCTGTGGAAACTTAATAGTTAGCCATTCCACATGGGTTCCTTGTGGATAGATCTTAGAATTCCGTCTTGTTTTCTTGTCATTTCCACATCAAGAAAGTAAATATTTAGCTTGTTTTAAACTTCAAGTGTGAAATTTATTGCTGGGTGACAGTTATTAAGTGTCTTTAGAGGATGACTCAAATCATATTTGTTGTCACAAATGATAAAGATATCATCTACGTACCTTTTATACAAGTGAAAGTTTTTGATAATCGTTTTAATTCGGTTGTTTACTAGACTGGTCATGAAGCAATCTGCTAGTAATGGACCGTCATTGAATGTAAACTATACATTGCAAGTGCAACGTAGTAGTAGTTCCTTCAAATAGGCTTCCGGTATTCCGATATTATTCTCATTATTACTTATGTATTTGCAGACAATATAATTTCTTCGGCAATATTTATCTCATGGAACTTAACTTACACAGTTCAAACCGATGGTTACTGACTCCATACGCTAGTGCTACATCGTCGTCTGACGAAATTTAGCTTATTTAAAAGCTTTTTCTATATCAGTTGGTATACTACACTGACGCAAGTGCTAGCTGTGATGTTGATGTACGTCCCAGTCATTTCAGTCGATGAGAGCTATTAAATTTAACAACTGATAAATCATGTGATTTAGTTTTCTGTTCCATCAACGCTGCTCGCTAGACGGTTTAATCATCAAGATTAATGACTGAATACTTGCAACCTGTGGAATTTTATACTCTTACGTGTTGTGATTCCTATCTGCATTGTAATACTGGGAGAATTGCTGTATATTACATTTATATTTTTGACTAACCTGAAAACCTACATAATCAAATTCCAACTGTAATTTAATGAGTAATATAATATTTTTATATGCTATTCTAGAGTTGAAATTCCAGGCACTGGTAGTCGTAAAGAAACATGGATAATGACGCCTGAAGAGAAATTGGAAACTGTACCGGTTTTACGTGAAGAAGGTAATCAGTTGTATAATCGTGGGGAATATAATAAGGCTGCTGCATGTTATAGTGAAGCGTTAGGCATTTTAGAACAATTAGTTTTACGAGAAAAACCAGGAGAACCTGAGTGGATTGTATTGGACAAGTTACAAATACCACTATTCGTTAATCTTGCACAATGTCAATTTAAAGAAAAAGTAAATAGCTTATTCATATGACCATTTTAAGTGTTTGAATTTTCAATACTCTTTTTTAATTATAACAATTTTATCCCAACTTACAACCTTGTTTCTAGAAATCATGTTTTTGACTAGATTTCGAATGGATTAGATGATAGGTTTTTTTTAATTAAAATGTTGGGTTTCTGTTCTTAAGGTTGGAAGCTATGGTTAAAACATTATGATTCGCAAATTGATTGACTGATAATTATTTCGTGTTAGAATTTTTGATGCTGTATAATTTTATTACCTTTTGTGATAGATAACTCTCACAAAAACTATATTCCAATTGCTTAACATGAAAGAACATGGTCTTCCCAAATATGCTACCTATTCATTCTATTTTGACATTCGTTCCCCTTGCTATACCTTCGCTTCTATACAACGGTTTCATCTATTTTGACTGTTCTGCTCACACCTCTAAGTGATAAATTTAAATTGTACCGACAAAGCATGACTTGCTCCAGATAAAGTAACTGCTTGCAAAACATTCAATATCTAATATACAATTAGTACTATTTGCCTCAATGTTAAGTTTGACTAAAATGAAGGAAGTCTCCGTTCTGCTGATTCATTCCAGCAGTGTTCATTGCATCGAGAAGATTAGCCGTCTTTATAATCAGCTAGTATAGATTAAGCTGTGGTGAAAAATTATTTGAAAACAAATATTTATTCACTTTCATCTAGTCCTTTTACTAAATGTCTGAATGAAATTTTTCACTTTACTAAGAACCGATGGGATCAGTTTGAAAGTAAGATGAGGTTAGATTAACAAATTGTGAGACTAAAGTAATGGTAGAAATATAAAACTATAATATTTAGATCAGGTCCTACCGTGTTTGTGTCCCTATCCAATAATCATTTTCTTCGTATCATCTCATTATTTAAAAAAATTCGAGATCTTAAGGACATTATAGATACGGCCGAAAAACGATTTTTAAAAGTTGACGAACCAGCTACATTGTAAGCCACATCTTACTATCACAGGTTACATCAACAGAATCCCTCTTGAAATGAAAGAATTATGGATTAGGTTTATCATTCCCATAATTTTGATGGCATCTTGAATGAGATTGGTCTTATGGTCAAATCCTCATCAAATATCGTTCTAAACAGTATCTTAATTGAAGACTTTAGGTAGTCTTGCTTTATATTTGTGGCGTGTCCGCAATTCAAACAAGCGACTAACTAATGTTTGAAATTGTGCTGTCGATCCCTGTTGATATTTTCGTTATGCTATATTCCCTCTCCATGATAATTCCTAGGACTATTATGCTGTGATAAAAAATACTACTGAAGCCTTATCACGAGATCCTACAAATGTAAAAGCACTTTATCGCAGGTCTAAGGCGTATATAGAAACTTGGGACTTTGATCTAGCTGCTGAGGATCTACGTAAGCTAGCCATTTGTCGTCCGGAAATGAAGAACACAGTCGAAAATGAACTAAACATTATCGAGGCTAAACGTGTCAACGAAGAAATCAAAGGAAGACAAAAACTAGCTGGGAAACTCTTCGCTTGTCCAAAATCAGTCGCAGAATCAAATATATTATAATGTATCATAATAAATCCAGAAATATTCATGTCAGTATTATATGTACTTTGAGTAAGTAATATTTTGGTCTACTTGCATGACTAATTTATATCCGGATAGTTGTCTTTTTTCGCTTAACTGTGTTAAGTCTTCAGAATTAATCGTCCTTATTACCCAAGGTATTCTATTTTCTCTAGTTTACTTTTGTGGTTGAGTTTACATAGCTGTAACCGAATTTGTACTCCGTAATTGAACAATATGAGATACACAGTTGAGGATTGGAATTAAATGAAACCTTGGGTGCGGAAGGACTCAAACAGATGGGCTGTGATATGTGAGTCTGACAAGATCTCACTCCTAACCAAGCATTAAGCGCGTTTCCGGAGTCTATCTTAGATTTTTATCTAGATGTAAACCTAGGCGAATTGGAGAGAATTAGGAAACAAATTTAAGTTATTTTGAAAAAACTAATTAATGAAAAAATTCATCGGTCACAAAATATCAGTTTTCTCAAACCCTTGCTCAAATTATCCTAAAATCGTCAATGCTAGTTTCAAACACGATCAGTGGATGCCTGAGTCATAAATAGTGCGCTCAACAGTGCTTAATTCCACCACATATTTTTATAAAAAAATCTGGTTCGTAGAGTTTCTTGATTATCGAACGAACCACGCATTTTTATGCAGTTTTACTTACATGAAATTTAACGTAATATTTGTGGTGCGAAAAAGATTAAACTGCCACTTTCCTGGTACAAAACAGATAAATGTCTGTACTTTCTAGTTTTTTCTAAACAGTGATAAAAAACTTATACTTCGAAACCTACGTTACTTGTCTAATACTCCTATATTTTTCGTCTCCATACAATAGATATCTGAAAATGGATTCAAGGTTTGTGCATTTATGATGGAACAGTCGTATTTTTTTCTGCGTCTATATATTTCCATCTTAAATATCTTGACTGTGATATAACTACTTGCACCAGTAGCTTTTTTTAATTTCATTTCATATGTGGATTTTCTTTTGATTGTATGTACCCATTATATTGTAAATACTATGTTGAAAATGAAATGGATTATACTTGTTCATTTGTAGTAATAATGAAACTAGTTATAAGCCCTTGATTGCATTACTAACCTATTTTCATAAGATACAAATGAAGAAATTCAAGTCCACAAAAATCTCTTTAAAAATACTGATAGAAAAAATAATCAGTCATATTGTAAAAACAAAAATAAAGGTATATAATTAGTGAGAAATTCGAAAGTAAACTATATAAATTAAGTCTCATTCAACTTTCCTACGCTTTCGACGAAAATCGAAATCAAGGCGATCATCATCATTATTTATCTGTTGTGATCCTGACTTGGAACCAACTCTACGATTATTTCCTCTGCCTCTAGTTGAACCACTAGAAGCTGTATCAGTCCGTACGCCACGTCCGCGCCCACTTCGCTTAGTTTTTGGTAATGCTTCATTCAGTGGATTGACTGGGCTTTTTCCTACATAATTTTGCTTAGAAGATTTACCTTCATTTAATGAAGAGCTTATGTCGTCGTCGGTGGAAACGTCTTCAACCATATCCGCTAGTGTTGTCGCCTCGTCCTGGTCAGAATCAAATCCAAAATCATCTTTCGTTTGTAGTATAAGTTGACAGCTCGGCACAGACTTTTTATTGGTTGCTTGTTTTGTTTGCAATGTTGCTTTACCACTGACTTTGTTCACTCGGACTTTTTCTGGGGTTAGATTACTGTGTTTTGGTATCTGGAATCAGAAGTGTAGGTAGGATACTAGTTTTATGTATTAGGAAAAGCAAATTAACTGAACATTAGTGTAGTAATTATACTTAGTGATAGTATAATATTAGTGTTTATTTAATCCATAGGAAATTTCAGATTGAATCGGATCACATTTTACTAATTTTCGTTCGTTTATAGTGTTTTACAAAGCAACACGAGTCGTGTTACCTAGGTTACTTTACTATCTAATTATTAATTAATTACATTCCCATCACAATAAAAATATGACATTCAGCGAAAATATTTCTTTTCAGTGAACTTATTATCAACTTGTAAAACAGTGAATAAGTATTGTGGCGTAATAACGGGATTACTAGGTTAGCGTAAATGATAAGGCTACAATTTTGTGTAACTTCCTTTTATCTTCATCAAAACGCTATTATGTATTTAGCTGATACGTTTGACACTTTACAAACAAGCGTATTTTACTTGTAGCCAGTTACAAAGTACTGACGCAAGTAATAAGTGCACGAATAAAGTAATCTAATCAAGCTGACATTTACGCGTATATATTTTTGTTCAAACCTACACTTTTGTGTTTTAATGAAGATCTGATCGAAAAACAGATCCATAAATCTGTTAAGTTTTCTTGCTCGCAAAAGATGCCTCATATTCCTGAAAATCTTAAAATTATGGAAGAACACATTTTTATTGCCTCTTTTCAGATGTTAGTGTTAAGTTCGTTTGCATTCTCTTCACCAGCCTGATTTCGACCCTGGATGCGGTCTCTACAGACCAAATGTTCACATTCCGGCAGGTTCTGCAACATAGATATGCCTTTCGACGACCGACAGTAGTTTTGATCCTTGAAATTAAGGCGGCGCTCGACTTAGTTGACTGTGAGGTTCTGTAGCAGTCTGTCATTGAAATGTGTGCCGAAGAGGTGCATTAATCTTGTGCGGGACCTTTACTCAAACACTAATGCTCAAATCAGGGCTTATAGCGAACTGCCATTAGATATGGTTACTTCGAATGATGTTCGTCAGTGTAGTCTTACTTAACTTCCCCGTATACATGCTTTAAGAGATAGTACCGTTTTCGTCGGACTTAAATTCCTATTATTCCTCGTCCGACTTCAGGGATTATTTTATCAGGAGATCCATTTGTTGAATTAGAATACGCAGATAATATGTTTTCTGTTTAGTGAAGATGCTACACATGATCTTAGCTCAGAGAGCCGAGAAGCGAATGCCCTGGTACGGCCGAGAGTGGGGTGAGTCCGCTCTCCCTCTCGAAATACTCTCACACGGCCGCGTGTATACAGCCTCTGCCAGGGAAGTCCTACTCATTGCCTTCTCGTGGCGGGGGTGTTGTTTACAAAAATGAGAGGACGAAAAGCGAATGTCCGGCGCTTCAACCGGATCACAAACCAATGGTGCACATGGGCTCCAGTATCCTGCGGGAACAAATGGCGTATGAACCAATCCTTGGTCACCGGCTACCATGGGATTGCATCTCCTTACGATGCTCCACTGCCTTGTGGGTTAGACCTTTAGGTCAAAGGCTCGGGGAGTGGCCCCCTAAGAAAACCACCTGCTTCGGTTTGGGCACCCGGGCAGTATCACAGCCCACACACAAACGATGAACTCTATGTCTTTGGCAACTACTTTTATCGCTCCGAAAAACAAAAACAATCAATCGATTCAAATAATTATCATTACTATTATTGTCATTATTAATACTATTATTATTACTATTATTGTCATTATTATTATTATTATTATTTCCCACATTATTCACCCTCTTTCATACTTATACAGCGGCTCGGCTTTGGTGGAAATCCGACTGTATCTAAACGTTCTAGAGTCACTGTCCGGTTGAAAGTTGTATGTTACCATCGAATATGAGTACTGAAGCAGTTTTTCTGAAACCACGTGCGCCATTCAAACTGGCTGCCTTCAACGATGTCTTTTCGTCATCTCCGCCTATGCCCCGACAGATTGCAGCCCGGATGCAATCAAGGATGAGTTTTACCACCAGTTAACTGTTCTTCTCCAGAAAGTGCGTTCGACAGATATTGTAGTACTAGCCGGAGACTTGAATGCTCAGGTCGGGCGTCTAGGCACAGAAGAGAGTCGTTTAGGTGGCCGATGGGGACTCGTTGGTCGCAGGTCAGATAACGGGGACCGTCTACTGCAACTATGCACAGACCACAACCTGTTTCTGGCTAGCACTAACTTTCGGCACAGTCATCGCCGATGTGCCACCTGGCGTCCTCCCTCTGCATCCCAAGCCTGGACTCAGATTGATCACATCGCGATCAGCTACCGCTGGTTGTAAAAGACTGCCGCTCCTTTTGGAGTACCTATCTGGACTCTGACCATGCCTTGGTCTGCGCCAATCTTGCCTTACTTTTCAGTGGACAACGAAGTGAACGCCATCAACGGATCGATGTTAGCAAGCTGGTTGCAACTTCTGTTGCAAGTAAGTATCGAACCGAGCTAGCCTCTAGGCTAGCTACCACTCCACCGAAAAGTATAGATGAGCATTGGTTGCAATTGCATGACGCCATGAAAATGGCGGGGACAGTCAGTTGTGGGTTTGCGAAGCGTCCCGCTTTTAAGCACTGGGTTTCTTCTGGTTCCTTACAACTCATTGAAGCCCGTCGGTCTACTCCGGGTGACCGTGAGTTTGACCATAAACGAAGGATGTTACGTGAGGAAATTGGGCAAAGCTTGCGTAAGGACCGAGAAGCCTGGTGGTCGATGCGTGCTAATGAGCTGGAAGCAGCAGCTGCATCTGGTAACTGCCGGAAGCTCTTCCAGCTCATCCGAGCCACTGGCAGCAAGAAGTCTGGTGTGAGTGAAACAATCTGCGAGGATGATGGGATGCCAATCACTAACATCCATCGACGTCTTGGACGGTGGGCAGAATTTTTCGAAGGGCAGTTCAACTGGCCTGCTGCTCAGGCAACATCAGTCAGACTGTCCTGCCCTCCATGGCCGGTGACGACTGATCCACCAAACGAGGAGGAAGTCCGCAAGGAACTCCAACTCTTGAAGCGATACAAATCACCTGGCCCAGATGACTTACCTCCGGCTCTTTTTAAAGATGGTGGTGACTTTTTGACTAAGGAATTGACGACGTTGTTCACAAAGGTTTGGGAACTAGAGAGTGTGCCAACGTCATGGAATGAGTCGATAGTTGTCCCTATCTTTAAAAAGGGTTCACGTCGTTCCTGTAACAACTATCGGGGGATAAGTCTAATTCCGATTGCGTCCA